TAAGGAGGCACTACGATAGTTCCTCTTTGAAAGATCCACAGTGATTCGATGAGAAGATGTTTTAATCAGCAAAAACTTCATTGGTTAAGAATGTTGGCAGTAAATATGTATCCTGATTTGCAGTATGAAAATCAAATGGAATATTAAGTCATCTATTTACTACCGTGACTGAAAGGTGTATGCTATCTTAACAAGTAATAAAATTAAGAATTTGCCCTCGTATCTTACATTGTTTAATTTTATAGCATTTGCACAGGAATAACATAACAATTGTGTAAACCTAAAAACAATAACAAATAATACATCCCAATCTTTGGATAAAATGTAAGGTATATTTACTGTAATAACAAAAATGTTCGAAATACAGTTTAGGAGTTCAAGAAAAACAGCCGAGAAAGCGGGGCAAAGGGGCACCAAGACGAGTAAAGCTCTCGATAAATCATACTTATGTTGATATGTCTCCAGGCAACTTGCGCCGGGCCGTACGTCATTGGTGTAGTGGAGGGTAGGGGGTTAGATATAATTAAAGAGAGCGCAACACGCCACGGCAAGCCAGTGTTCTGAGATGTTCAGTCATTAGGCCTAGAACGTAGCTAATTATAGGGTTGTACAAAGTGGGACCCCCCCTCCATCCCCGCCGATGATGGAATGTCTACGGCAGCCTGCGGCGCTACCCGCTGATCTCAGATTAGGGATGTTAATATCTGGTCCACAATGCACTGTTTACATTGTTCACTGGATTATCTACAGTCCCGTGGGTGTATAGATTACACAATCTTTCCGGGGCTTTTGATATCGTATAAGAGGTCTTACAGTTGATTTTATCTTTAAATAAGTATGTTGTATGTACTTACTTTTATGAGGTTAAGTTTCTTCAATATTTAGTTGATGTTTAGTGATTTTAGGGTTTTTTCCAGTTCATTCATTATTTTTATTGCACTTTTTTAGGATAGTTAATTTTTTAATATCATCAGAATAAATAAAAGTACAACACACCGAACACTGTTGCTTAGAGGTAACGTCTTGTGATGACAAGCAAGATATTTCTGGGCTGGGACCTCACTTTGGTCACCACTGACTGGGTCAGCTACCGTACTAACTCTGTACTTCACTCTCATTTGATCAGCTCACAGGCCAATTGTGTATGGTGACGGGTAGATGAGGTTTAAAATTAATAAACCAAAACATAATAACGTTGATTTTGACAACCGTGCAGTATTATTATAATACTAAGGCGTGTTAACCCCACTGACAAGTTATCTCAGTTAAAATATTCAACCCTCATCACTATAAGTTACGTTAAAAGTCTTCCAAGGTCATATATTCCACCACCCCAGAATGACTTAATTATATTCATTTTTCATCCTTTAAAACTCTTCCGTAACCCCTTTACACTGTACCATACCAATCTGGCTAATGGATTTAAAACAATACCGTAGGTCAAAGGGAACTGGGAAGGGTTGTTTTCGCAAGAAGCAATTGATTAATCGCCTCCAAGGTCTAGGACATGACTCCGGGTCGGGGATGGAGATAATGAATAAATTGTATGATGCATGGTCGAGCCGAAATTTACGATCGGAGCTGATAGGGAGGCTGTCCTAATGAACAAGGGGCGAATCTCACCCTCAACTTTAAACTGGAGAAGCTATCGGCTTCCTCCAGAGGTGTAATCCCGGTTTAAGCACTGCAGACAGACAGACGGAGAAATCAAAGAAATTTAACAAAGTTTCCTCTCGACACCTCAATTAGCTTTGGATTTGTTCTTTAAGACCAAAGTCTTAAGCTATTTCGGAAAGCCTCAGAATACATTCGAAAACTTAATAATACTTATGAAAGTGTTTTCTCGAAAAAAACCAAATATTTCTAAATACAAGTATGTATGTGAGTTTTGATCAATTTAAAATATGTCCTTGAAAAGTGTGTCTAATTATACTAGTTACTGCATTACTGTGTTGATTTATTTATTGTTCAAGGACATTAGGGACTGCAGCATTAATTGACATATTTTCCATGAATGACATTTAAAACCTTCATGAAACTGACTTTGGTTTTGAGTAGCTTACTTAAAAGTAACAAGATCATAGAAGATACAACGTTTAACATTACATGATTTAGATAGTATACCCTGAAGGAAAAAAAAATAGAAAGTCCGTCATTAATGCAATTTAGAATACTTACTTAGTTTCTGACCCACGCATTGGGAGTACAATTAGTTAAATATTTTTTTATGGTATCACAACTCTAAAATAAAGTAAAAATGGTCCAACCATGGCCACATGGGTTTGATTCAAAAACGCAAAGAAATTGTAAAATTGCCAACGTGGTAAATATGTCGAAATAATTGTTTCTTAACACAGTGTTACAGACACTTAATAAAACGATGAATACATATAAGTTACAAAAACATAAAATTTTAAATTGTTTTATTGAGTTGTGGATGATGTGGATATCGGTCTGCAAGAGTGTTGCAGTAAGCTGTAAAGCGATTGACGGCGCTGAGCGGCTTGAGCATAATTTGCTGCGGATCACAACACAACACTTACACGACGGATGTCTTGTACACCTGATAGGAGGAAAGAGGAGAGGGAGGTGTTTAACACAGCATCATCTTGTTCTTGCCCCTTCTCCTTGAGGTAATACAGTACTAAACTGGTACCTGGAGAGATTGTAAACTTAAGTTGATCTGTGACAAATTAAGTTTATCGCCATAGTGTCCGTTTTTAATTGTTTACAAATAATATAGTCCCTTTAAAAATTCTAAATGTTTTGTTAGTAGTTTAAACATGTATTTATTACACCTTAAGCTGTAATTAAATCACCAACCTTTAAACTATTTTCTTGGGATAGTTGTTTCTGTTATTTTGGTTGATGGACGTTGGTACACATTGTTTTTACTTTATGCAACAAATAATCTTGAAACAAACCTCCCGTGCAATTAACGTTCTTCTCAGCCGTTCCCGTCTTCTCTGATGCACAACACCGTCGTAGCAACCCATAAACCGTCACCCACATGCAACTCTCATGTATCACAATTAACATGGACACAAGTTGTACCCCCACTCTACCCCCTTTGTCTCATGACGTCACGCTAGGGGCGAGTGCGTGTCGCAGCGAGCGGTGAGGGTAGTTCTAGTATTAAACGTATGATGAAAATGCGGAACGAGGTGTTCTTGAGTGCGGCTTGTCACTCAATTACCTAGACTTGCGTGTTAGACGCACATCCTACGAGAATTATCCCGGTTATGGTTATTGTACGCTATGAGGCATGTTGAGTCCCCTGTCGTCTTGCCGTTGTTCGTGGTGGTTTATGTGCAAGGGTTGCGCTTGTGCTAGTCGGTACCGATTTTGATGATTTATATTCGTGTTTAGTGGGATTGAAGAAGAGTTTAATTTCCCAAATATTGGTATTTCTTTGCATGTTTAAAGGAGTGTATAGAACAATAGAAACCTTATTTATCAAATCAGTTTATATATATATATATTCACTTAGTATAAGTGTGCATGAACATAAGTCAATTTCAAAATACAGTAACACAGTAACAGGAACCATATCTCTGTCAAATACACTCCAATAAGTTGGATTTGCTTGGGGAGAAAACACCGCCTCTATTCCAGGTCAGACTAAGAGGGATTTTTAGAACAAACTGGAAACCTATTAACTTCTGATACATCTAACAGTCTCCGTGCATTAGATTGTAGTAATAGTATTAATACAAAGGATATTGTTAAATTTAAGGAGATAAAAACTCTCAGGAGGGATTTGACGGACAGGATAGGGAGAGGGCAACTGAAGGGGCGGCGGATTGTCCATCTTGGGCGCTCGCCAAATTAATGGATGGCTTGAAAAACACACCGTCTAAAAATTTATGCATTAATTAGCATCCTCGAAAATTGGAATGTCGTGTAGGGGCGCGCGGCCGCCACCTCTCATTTTTTAATTGCAAATGACATTTTTGCAGATGATAAGTCGGCGAGAGCGGGTCGTATTCATTAATTTGTAGCTCCCCGGCCGCAAGATCCGCGATTGAATAATTCATCTTTCGAACTGATTGTTTAAAACAATTCGCTGGGCTTTGTCTTCCTTTTATTCCGCTGTAGTGACGAGTTTTTGTAAACAGAGGGGATTTCACAATTGATGGCAACCCTTTGCAATCAGCTATTTTTTTAAACGTCATACCAAACAGCTATGCAAGAATGAAACGCATTTTAGCGAGTTTCCCTATAGGGAAGTAGCTATTACCGTAGGTCTCATGGTAAGAATAGGCCCGGGACCGATTTATTTTTTCATTTTAATGTCCCTAGAGGCCAAAAAAACTATTCGTTCAAATTTATATATTCATATTATAGGTCCGTAAACGTGATAACTTGAGTAATTTTTGTCCAATTTCGATTAAATTTGGCATGAAGGTGTAAGGCGGGATAAACTTGAATGAGTTTGCGAACCAGCATGATCGGGCTATGGGATCGGGGTTTTATGGGGTGTTTTTTTGGGTTGAAATTGAGTTTCTCATTTTTTACCCTCAAAAAAAATCTCAATGTCTTTCTAGACCAATTTAAAGAGCTTAAAAAAATTAGTATATAAAGTTTTTTTTGTGGTTATTAGTTACGGAGAAAATTCCAAAAATCGTAATTGTAAAATTCTTGTGTTATTATTATAAAGAATATTGTATATTGTTGTAGTTTGCTGGTTTGTGGATATGTTGATCAATCTTGACATTTTTTTTAAATTTTATAATGGGCTATTAATGTTTGCTGTAGCGGGGGTATTTAGAACGTTAACTTTTTCTAATAAATGCATTGAGTCATTATGACAGCCGCCATTCATAAATTAAGTTCAACATGTTAATTAAATTAGATTTGTAAGAATGGCCTAGAGCAAAGTTAGAAAGTTTACTAATATTATTTAGCATAGTGATATTGAATTATTAAACGCGTTTTATTTAGTTGATTAAAACGATTAGGTACAAACCTTTAGTCTCACAAGGATTATTCTGTTTCAGGCCTCTGTCCACTGTCACTGAACTCCCTGGATCAAGTCCGCTCACGCAGGCGGCCAAGAGACGTGCAGAAGCGCAGAAGAATAGAAACTCTGATGTCCTGCGACGACAAAACATGGTGAAGAAGGAAGAAGTCATTGTAGACGAGACGACGGTCAAGAGAAGGCGGAAAAGTGCAAAGAACAACGACCAAAATGACGACGACCATGACACCAAGCCAGTATTGCTCCCTCAGAAGAAACGAGCGTTTGTGTCCTCCTCACCCAGTCAGAGCCCAGCGAAGAAATCCTCAAAGTCAAACAATAATTCTGGAGAAGGAAATGTTGACAATGAGACACTGATAAGAGAAACTGAGGCTGACCTGAAGAGCCTCTCAGGTAGTTGGCCAGGTCCTCGGTTGGCGTTTTACAACAGAGGTATCGCTGATGCTGAGGAGCCAGGATTTGAAAATCTCTTTGATGAGAAGAAAAACAACATCGCAAATGGCACCTCGTCTACATCATCATCCAACAACGGAGACAACTCTTCCTGCTCGTTGAAAGACGTCATAACCTTGAGGGAACAAGACGCGAAGGCAACAAAAAACGACGTTCACTCAACCAACGGACCACCTGGGAAAAGTGAGCATGTCAAGTCTTCTCAGAGCAACAAAACGCCAACGAACTCTCAAAGAGAAGGCAAGGAACTACCTAAAACTGTGCAAGAAAGAAACTATTTAGAGAGTCTGATAAAAATCGAAAATGAGTGTGACTCGATACAGTCACAAGCCAAAACAAAGCCAAAGAATGACGATTCTAAGTCAAACGACAGGTACTCAAACGGCCAGAGGTACGAGCCTGACTTTAATGAATTAGTGGACGACTCTTCAAACGACCTTGAAATTGACATGGAAGTTGACGAGCGGTCTGGAAAAGGTGAGAAGAAAAAGAGAGACGACAAAGGAGACAAAACCAAAAATTTGGGAAACCATTATACATCTCAGAAGTCTGAAAAGGGAAAGAACTCTACTCCAGTGGTGTTTACAGCACCTAACTTTCGTGATGGTAAGGAACCGAAGATTGCAACGTCTTTGGACCCAATAGGACCGTTCCCAGCGGGAGCGACATTCGTAGGTTATCCACCAGCGGCTGCAGCACCTCCCCCTCGTCCTGAGGAGAAACCCTCGACTGTTCATCTACTTCCACTCAAACCAACCCCGGCCAAGGTGGAAGCTGAAGAGACTGCTGCTGTGACGTCTAGCAAGGTGTCCGCGTCTTCCCCTGACTCCAAGCAGTACACAATCCTGCAGCCCGCGGGTGCCGGCTCCAGGGCCGCTTCCGCCATACAAGACGCTGCTGGGGTGCCTGCCGTCAGTAGCACATCCTCTGCAGACAAGGACGGCAGCCGCAGTGGCAGCAATCTCTCACCTATTGGCAAAGGTAACTTGCTATTTATCTTGATATCAGTTTAGTCTATGACCCATATGTAGATAATAGACGCAGAGCAAATTTAGCCAACTAATGTGCCTGCGTTAAAGGTTACATTTACAGTCAAAACATTAGTTCAGTGTTTATGGTAACGGTTTAAGCTTTTGTTGCCTTTGCCCACTTAATTATAAGAATATACAACAAATACAAATTGAATTAAACACAATAGTGATTTAAATTTTTGTTACATGCGATCGCATCCAATTATCATTCCACAAAACAAATATTAGTGTATCTTTATCAATTATTATTATAGCTAAATAAATTTCTTAAAATTCTTAAAGGGTTATATTAAAACATGTTTATACTTCTTATTACCATAGGGGAGAGTACCTATTATACCGTATATGCTAATTGGTTGCTACATAATTTCTACAGCGTCCTTTTGGAATTTAAGATTTATCGAAGTAGGCTTTTTATTGTTTCAAAATTAAAATAATCAGCATCAGCAATCTGACACATACATTCTCCCGGAAGCAAGTAAACAACCCTTATCATGAGTAAGCAGAGGGAGTAGCCATGACTTTTTATGTGGAAAATCACAAAAGTTGCAATACCTTAATTTGAACCATAATTTTTACAGCAATAATTTTACACCATTTTGTTTAGTCTTAAAAGGGCCATAACAGTTTTCAATAAGCAACAATCGCACCTCAGTTAACTTCGTTGGTTACATACTAAATTGTTATCAAACCCGGTCGATCCAGTTTTTTAACTCGATTTTCCGTTATTATATGAGTTTTTATAGGAAAACCCCATAAAAAATCAAAATAAAAAAATAATAGATATTCCGGATATATCATGGCTTAGTATCCACATACTAAATTCAATCAAAATTGGATCTTAGGTGTGGTCTGCAGCTTTATACACATCCAGACACACAGACAGACACACACACAAACAGAGAGAAATTACTTCGAAAACCATTTTTTTTTTTTTTTTTTGTTCAGGGGGACCTAAAACTCGAACTTGATAATTTTTACGAAAACAATACTCTATTTTCTAGGGGAATAACATAAAAATATAAATTACTAAGCTCCGTGTGACCAGTAGTTGTATTATAAAACAACATAGCGTCGCGCCTTCAATAGTTTGTCTGCAAAAGAGACTCTGTATTTGAATTGCCAGGTGCGCCGTGGTAATTGTCAAACACATTGACATTGATCAAAACATTTTAAAATTCAACATTAACATTTCAACATATGAACAACTCAACATACTTAGTTTACTCAACACAATCTAATTAAAGCATCCAATGGCTTCATTCATTAGGTAAAGAGATTTAGGATTTCTTTTATTATTCCCCTTAGTTTCAATACGATTATTATACAATTTTCTATTAGGAATATCGCTTTCTATTCAATAGGTATACTTATTTTTTTACATTAAAGGAGGTTGGTATAAGCCTATAAACCTACTAATATGAGAATGTCTTTATTTTCATACCAATAGTAAATACATGCTGTTAAACCTGACAACAATATACTAATGTTATTAATGCATACTAATGTTGGCCTTATTAATATTTGGAATTCGTATAGTATATTGCAAAGAAAACTAGCGTGACTAACATATTTCTTTGTTAAATCATTTATTATAGCAATAAACCTACGTAACTAATAAAACATTCAACTTATTCTGCACGATTTTTTTTCAATTTTAGATATTGCTTTATCAAAGTAGAAACTAAACTTCAAACATAAATAAAAATTTAACATATTGAAAACACTCTTTTCTCTGTCTTGTCATCTTGGGTTTGGGTGAACACAGAAGCTTATCATCTAAATGTATTATTTGCTAGAAACCTGATCTTCAACCAAATGCTGACAAGTTAACATCAGTGAAAGACACCAAAAACTTCTACCCTTAAAAGCTTCTCTATCCAAATCGAGGTTAAATATTTGCTCGCGAGATTGCAGGTTTCAAAGAGATTCGTTCACCGTCAGATAAAGTAAGACTTAGCAGTGTTGACGCACAGTCCGACTTCACGACTTCGACTTGCCTTAATTACCTCCAGTTACATACATTTGCATTTTTCGACGCGCCGAGCCGTCGGAGTCGCTTTTGACTAAGTTTAATTGCCCACTAATGAGTTAGTACCCGAACCTTCTTTCCCTTAAAACGCGTTTTGAACTAGATTTAATGAGTTTTGCCTGAGAATGTTTGGAGTCTGAGATTCGCGAGTGTGTTTTAGAGTAAAATTGAAGATAAGATTTATGAAATCCGGAAACATTTTCTATTTTTTCTTATTATAAGAAATAGTTTTGTTTTATTTTGGTGGGTTACCTCCTAAATCGCTGGCACAGCCTTCACTTCTTCTCTAAAGTCCTGGATTCAAATCCCACTAACCTATGATTGTTATTGATGTGATAATGCCATAACCTATCAAGAAAACACATCATATAATAGGTTTACAGACGATATTTTTCTTTTGAAGAGTTGGCAAAATACAATGGCAAAATACGATATTTAATTCTTCAACTAATTGAAAACTATCTTCTAAGAGTTAATATTCTACGAGAGGACCCAAGCGCAAATCATCTCTTGTTTACAAACTGGCTGTGGTTAAACATTCAATTGGAGGATTACCTCTTAAACTACAACTCACTTTTAAACAGTTATAAAGAAAGTTTGTCAGCATCACATGGATCTTTGAAAATGAACTCTATAAATAAATTAAACTTAAGGAGGACAAACTAAAGGTAATGATGACCTTTTATGTTACCGTTCGTCACTCCGCTAGATAATAACCTTTAAAATTACTCATCAATTGTAAAGATTGGTTAAGTAGGATGGCTGCAAAAGGGGTGTTACAGAGCTATCTCTTACTGTATCAAGTACCTATATGAATAGAAATGAGAAGACATTTTCGGAAGTTCTGGGAGATTCTACTATTTATAAACATTCAGGATTAAGGATTAGGCTACATTTGTTTATTATAATCTAGCACAGTTCTTAAAAATACAATGTCAAGTCATGCATATCACCTTCATTCGTATAGTACAGTATTTGGAAATTCCATGTGTTGTATACAGTAGTTAACAAATTAGTAACATGCTTTATACAGTAAATAACAATTTTCAATCAAATTGGCGAAATTCCTACATACTCATTCATAATTTTATCGGAGGAGAAATTTTTTTTTACTAATGAACTAACAGTGCATAAGTGTTTAGAGTCCCTTGATCTCTACGATATTTCGTTAGCCAGAAGGATACAAACATTCTTTGATTTGATGTTATTCGCCGTTAATATTTTATGTACGAGTTATATACATACATCCATTACTATATTATTAATCGTACCATGCATGGATTTATTTTATACGAAAAATTATTTGCCGTAATACAGTACAGTAGGCCATCTGCAAAGGTCTGGTGTGAAATTGTCTAATTAAAGGTGTCATAAGTAGTTTTATTCATGGTGGTAGAACTATTTTTGATAGACTAATTGTGTTTGATCCCTCTCGGCTCTCACTCAGTCCAACGGCTGTTGCTTGTTCACACAATCAACCGTAGTATTGTATCATTCCCAGATTATAACTACCCACTATCTGCAATTCCTCCACGTCTGATTGCACATTGCAAGTCAATGGGGGATACAGTTAGTTGATCCAACTATAATTGCAGGTGACTCACGTCCGGGTGTAATCCAGGATCTGACGCGTGATTGCATCCAGTCGTGGGATGCACTTTAATGCAGTCAGATGTGTTTTACCAGCTCTGCAGTCTACAGTCTACACAATCGTCACGTCTGTGTCCCTCTGACTTAGGATCATCTATGTTAGATAAAATGTTAAGTGTGGGGGTTTATATTGTTTAAGCGTTTATTCCTAATTACGTTACTATAGAATAGGCACAAATATTGCCAAAACTAATAAAATTGCTTTTGTGCCAAAACGAATTTATGAGTATACATAATTACCTTATTTATCGATAATAACTGCTATACAAAATATTTTCAAACTCGGAACTTTGGAAACTGTTTATATTATATAATATAGTAAAATCACTAGATATGTACAGTTAACCATGTCTGTGTGAAGCTTTTACTCGGCTATACGACAAATTATTATAAATCAGATGCTTAATGAGGGTTATTTGGCCAAACTAGGATGGGAATAGAAGATTATGGCTGATTACTGATTGTAAACAACAGTTAAACACGTTTACTCCCGCATTTACTTGACTGAAATAGTATAATGCATCATTATGGCGTAAAGTGACTCTTTTTGACCCCAGTTCAAGTTTTACGATCGAGGTGAAGCTGGGATCAGAAAATGAGTGAAGGTTGAAAAGAGACTCTTTTCCTGTGTGATGAACTATATTTTTCGTCAATCATTTAGAACATTACGATTGGGTTAGTGTACATCATACCATCGATATGTCAAACCAATTGAAATTAGCGATAAATGCTCGATACCTACATGTTATTGTTTACAATCGAAGTTTACAACTGTGTATACAACAGCTGACTTATTCGCCCTGGGAGTAAAAGAGCTACAAATTTAGACCCGCAACGAAACTGCTGTTTTTGCTGCAGTATGACGAAAAATCAAATTGTTGTTCATTTTAGTGGGTGTTAGTAATTGTTAGATTATAGGATAAACAGGATGAGACTACGTATTTAAACTGGAACTAATCAAATCACTTTAGACACTTATTTCTTTCTTGTTTTCAACACAGTGTACATACGGTCATAAAAAGTAAGCCTTTTTCACTCCAGTCAAAACAAAGCCTTTTGAGAGTGGGGGTGACAGAATGATCGGGGTGGGGTGGGAGTGAGAGAGAAGGAAGTCGAGTCCAGCTCCAGCGGAAGTCAGCAACGGAACAGGACGTGGGAGGCGCGGATACTCCATTAACGTCCTCTCAAAAATTAGCGCAATCATCGCCATGTAAAAATAATTAGTGCTTCGAGGCCTTTGACCGGCAGGAATAATGGGGTTAAGAGAGGGATTTGTTGAATGGATTTCTGGTTTGAAGTGGAGGGTTCGTTAGACCCTTTCTTGGATTACGTAAATGAGTTAGACAATGTAAAATTGTACATTCCACCACTACTTTAATAACAAGTTATATAAGTAGTAATTATTTGGAATATGATGGAAAATAGTTCTTTTATGATAAGGTTAGTTGAAATTGGTGAATGAGCAGTTATAAGATAACTTGAAATCTTTGGCTAACAAAATGCGCACAACTGCAGTTGTTTATATGTTAAATGTAAAGGAAGTTAGTCTAAAAGATCATAATTTAACCTTAAAATATTTTTCAGATTAAGACACATTTATACGATACTTATCATTAAAAAAACTACTTACGCAAAAAATAACGTTTTATACAGTTTTATACTGCTTCTTTCTTAATGTATTTTGTGGTATTATTTGGGTATGTCTTTCATTTTCAGTTTAAACTTAATGACAGAGTAGCCTTGTGCATGGATACACGTACGTACTTTGGTTCTTTAGACAGTAACGGCAGGATAATAATTTCCCATTTTCATATCGAGTATATATGTTGTTGAATTTCTTTGAAGTATCAAACATGCAAATAGTTTATTGGGCTAACCAAAAGTGGCTTTCTCTCCTAAATCGAATCCAACATCGAACAGGAGACGATAACAGAACCGTCGATAAAGCTTGTACAAAGTGTCCTGGAATTTATTACAGTATCATGTGACAGGGCGGCGTAGATTAAAGAGGGAGAGTTTGTAACCCTGTCACACGCTCAAGATGAAATCAGTTGGTACGCCTGACACGCCCAAGAAGGCAACAGCTGGTCGAAGATGGACGCCTTCACATTGATTAGACGACCAAGACGCCTATGCTAATTCGCCATCTTACCCCTTTATGGCCCATAAAGACGGGTTGTTACTTAAGTGGCTCTGTCGCGTGGTTTTTACGCTTTAAATGACCCCTTGAGGAATTTTGAGGGGTGACTCTTTTAAATAGAGTGTCAAGTTGTACAAAACCAGTTTGACCTTTTTTACTCACTGTTTGTTTAATTTTCAAGATTGGTCAGTGATACTAGTTATAAAATAAAGTCGTTCTTCTTTTTTAATGTGAATAAAAACATTTTATAGAAATTTTCTTGAAAAATCTATTTACTCTAGAGTGTTTGTTAAAAATAAATAGTGCCATGACCTCTTTACCTCGCACTTCCTCAAGTGAATTAAACATCTAAACCCCAACTGTAATAATTATCATCAGCTGTTACAACCATAATCAGCTGTAGAGTTCACAGAGGAACAATAAACACAGAGTAAGTGAAAACAAGGGGTTGTGACACGCTCGACAAAAGGACACAATATTTAAGATGATAACGCCGCCGCGCCCAATTTGTAGATTCGCGCCGTTTTATCTGCCGCTATTAATTCCCCCGCAAACAAAGCCGTTCCCGCCATAAACGCAGCAATCGCGTCGCTTTATAATTTCTCGGTTTCCTTAATTTTTATGAGTTGACAGTTTTTCGCCGGGGGAGAGGGTCTTTCATCATTTTTGATCAGAGGATATAGATTCTCGCGTCATTGAACAGCTGGGTCCCAGCTTGATTTGGCGCCTTTTTATTAAAATTTTAATTTAGGTCGTGTTTAATTGCTCTTTTTGTTTACGAAAGGTGGGTCGACTTGTTAATTAAAAATTCTTTGTAATTGCTGGTAACTTAACAAAGTTAATTGTATCTTTTAGATTTTATTTGAGATATTTTTAAAACGGTTTGATTATTATATAAGTGAATTTAATAAGTCAAAAGGACTAAAGTTGGTTTTATTGCTTTATTGTTTAGTTCAGTACAAAAATAGAATTTAAAAGTACTATTATTAGCCTACTGTGCCTTGTTTTTATTATTTATATATATATATCCAGGTAGTCTCGGATATTACTGATCAGCAGCCGATCCACGTCACCACTCACCAGTGACGTCATATACCTAATGACATCACGTTCTCTCCCTCTCCCTGGACCTTTGATTTGCTCTTACAAACTTTTAATAATGTTCATCCCTCACCAGCCCCGACTGAGCTGCTGTGCGCTTACTGGTTTCGTCCATAAAATTCAACTTCAATACATATTTAAAATGTGTCTCTATTAAATACTATTAAAGCTTTCGTATAATGTATTTCAAGGGTAAACAGTATTTTGAATTGTCAACTTGAATTATTAATAAGTAGTCAAAATCGTGATTTCAATATTTTAAAAACTCATCATTAATTTAAGTATGATTTAGGATGTTATAAACATCAGCAGTTAACATTATCAATTAAAAGTTATATTTTGAATTAGTTGCACAAAGGAAACAGAAAATTTTGCCTATAATTTACCTAGACCTATTTGAAAAGTATTGATGAGTAAAGTTTTCGATTTTTAGTTAGATCACGCTGTTTTGACTTGGCATACCCACTTACTTGCTAAATTTTAGGACTATATTTCACTACCTTATAGATTAAGTTTTCCTTCTGAAACAATCAACGTAACCTCGAAATTGAAGGTGTTGCCGAAACAAATGAAAAACCTGATGAATCACTGACGCAGACGAGTTCGAAGGGTTGGTTTGGTAAGCACTGTCATTTGTCTAGCATTCACTTTGTTGAGCTCGAAGCCGTTTCGGCGTTTAGCCGCTAAAATCAGGGCTATCAGTCTTCATTGGCTGGAGCACCTTCCGCTTCCGGAAACCGCGTCCCACCACCAGCGCTGCCAACTTGGCTTCCGGTTATAAATTGATTCCTTAAGCGGCGACGAAGTTTCGAAGGCTATGGCTACTTGATCAATGTTACTGTGGAAAATGCAATATTGATAATATTAGTATAATAACAAATTTTACTAGGAGGACCTGTGCGATTTCGTTCAAAATAAGCTTTCTTCTAGTACAGCATGAATAAATTAGTTCATTGCTGAAATTCACTGCTCTCGGATAGGATTAGATTTATACTCTTGAATAAAACTGCTTGCTGCATTGGAGTATTTAGAAGTGAAATTCTCTTTTACATATGGTACCCGCAGATTCCTTGCTAGATCATCTCCCACCACCACGGCAACATTGCGATCAACATTGCAACATTACGCAGTATCTTAAAATGAGTTTTATCCCTTATTTATGAACCGATTTCCTTCAATTTGTACATTGTTAGAATTGTAATCCAATTGTCTAAATAAAACATTGCCACAACATTTTGGTTTACCTATGTAGTTTTTAGGTTAAGTTTAAAATCTTAAATTGCGCCATTTTGAACCTGAACATTATGGCTGTTCAGAAGGATTTTATAACGATACAAAATTTCTTGGTTTAATAATTGATAAAAATCTAACCTGGGACAAACATGTTGATCATGATATCACAAAAATGTCTTCAGGAGTAGCTGCTTTAAGACAACTGTATAAAGTTTGCAGCTTAAAAACATTAATATCAATATATTATGCCTTAGTCCATTCTAATTTAGCTTACGGAATCAGTATATATGGAGCAACTACATCAAAAAACTTAAAACGGATTTTATCGTACCAGAAAAGGGCAATTAGGGCCATGTTTAATTTGAAAAGGAAAGTTTCGGTAAAACATAGTTCTTGGAATACTAACTGTTCATGGACTATATATCTTGGAAACTATTATTTATGCGAAAGATATTACAAAAACTCAGGCATCAAACAAAATTAGTCATAATTATAACACTCGTTCTCAATTTCAAATTGATAGACACAATATAGAATTTTATAAAAAGAAAACGAAATTCACAGGAAATAAATTTACGTCTCATCTTCCAAAAGCACTTCTAACTGAAAATGATACAAAAAAGTTTAAAAATTGTCTGAAACAGTATTTGATTAAAATTGCCCCTTATTCTCTTGAAGAGTTTTGGGAGAACAAATAAAATAAATATTCTGTCTTATTTTTAGTTCAATGTAAAACATTTTATTTTGTAAGATCTGAATCTATTCCTGTACAATTGTACTTAAATGAATAAAGGATAATTTGATTTGATTTGATTATAAAAATATAATATTTTTATCTCAAAATATGTTTTTGCATTATAATCTATGTATCAATTTACCACAAAAATCCGCTGACAAAATTAAAATAGCATTTGTGAAATGACAAATTGGCAGCTGTATGGGAAACTTTTGATATTTGGAAATTTTTTACATGATATTTTAGTTTTTCTTTGGTCCAGGAATGATAAATTATAAAGTCAGTAAAGAGTTTGGGCAAAAAGTAAGTTATTTTTTATCCTTGATAAATATTTCTAATGTTTAATTTGTTTTCAGATGGAACCAAATGTCCCACACCTGGATGTCTAGGAGAAGGCCATGTGACTGGACTTTACCCTCACCACAGGAGGTATTTAAATATTTTTAGATTGGAATAGATTAGATTAGTTTTGATGCATATGATGTAGTATACATTTGTACAATATAAGAAATAAGAACATTACTGTGTAGCTTTTGTAATCGTTAGTCTATACTGTGCTGTAGCCCTTTATCCCTTGTAAAATTGGCAGTAGGAACTTAACAGCTTTGGCATGACCAATTTGTTATTAATAATCCATAAAGTATGGGAATATGACATGTACTTACTGCAGACTAGAGCCAATTGTGTGCTGTCAAAGTAAAGTTCAAGGTAGTTTCCACACAATAAATGTGAGTCTCAGTACAGTAGTGAAAAACATATACCTAGTTAAGTTGAATAACACAAACAAGTTACAGTCTTTTAAAGAAATTGCTCATATATTTAAATGTAACAGGCATTAAAAGGTTATACTGAGGCTTGACATTTGCCTTCATAATGAGTAAGTGGTGGGAGAAGGAGAAACATATGAGTATGTTTTATCTATGATATAACTTTTGAACTGTAATTTATACAGCAATGGGGATTGTATCATCTTGTTTGTTATATTAAGGACCATAACATACATAGTTTTTATTTGGAGATATAGCCTGTGGATCGTATTGAACATAATTAAATCTAAGGCTTACCTTACGATCCAATTTATTATATAGAGGAGACCTAGGTTTCTAGTCGATGCTGCTATAGGTCTCGCCACCCTAAGTTGAGGCAGCCCAGACGGACGGGCAGGGTCATTATCGGCCGGTCCCGCCCGACCCTTTATAATCCGATTAAGCAGCGGCTACACTTGCCCGATTCGGTCCGGTTCGGTCCGGTCCTCCAAAATGCGGAACAATGCTTCCCATGGTTTTAAATGGAGGCGGCTACACTTACCCGATTCGGTCCGGTACGGTCCGGTTCGGCGCGGAACAATCGTCCAGGGAGCATTCATCCGCGTTTTGGCGGAAGCATTCGGAGCGGACCGGACCGAATCGGACAAGTGTAGCCACCTACTCCCGAAATTCGGATGAGGATCGGGGGGTTCCGTGAGCGCTCGGCTATGAAAATTATGAATTAAATTAGGAAAAATAGTTATTTGTAGGACATAGGCCTAAGAATTTATGCAATATTGGTTCATATATTGCCTCGATCATGGAAGACGATAATTATGTCTACACGACAGCGGAAAATAGTCAGAATTTTGACGCAACATCGGGAGACCATTAAATTGTCTACACCGCCGCGAGGGATAGGAAGTTTACCGCGATTGCATGCAAATACATTCACCATTTTTTAATTTTTAATTTTTTTGGCACCCCCCCAAAAATAGCCAATTGCCTCGCACCATAGGCACGTGCCTACCGTGCCTATTCGGTTAATTGGCTTTGACTAAACCCCTTCTATATTGCTGTACTTGTGTCCCGTGCTCGTGTGTGTCCTTCAAAATATTGTACAAGTGTAGCTACTTCTTCCGGCCGGACCGAAACGATTCGTGCAAGTGTAGCCACCCCTCACAAATTCGGGCCGGACCGAACCGAACCGGACCGGACCGAATCGGGCAAGTGTAGCCGCTGCTTTAGTGACACTTCCGTGAACGCTCTAGTTCCATAATTGCCATTAACAAAGTTAAAAACCGATGTATAAATTTAGTCTTTTACATTAATAACGTCGATTTAACAAACATTTCCGTTTTTGTCCCATCAAAATCGGACAATGTTTACGGTTTTTGGATTTTGGGATCTACACTACTTTGTTTTTTGTTTATAGCTCACAAACCGTAAACATTGTCCGATTTTGATGGGACGAACACGGAAATGTTTGTTAAATCGACGTTATTAATGTAAAAGACTAAATTTATACATCGGTTTTTAACTTTGTTAATGACAATTATGGAACTAGAGCGTTCACGGAAGTGTCACTAATCGGATTATAAAGGGTCGGGCGGGACCGGCCGATAATGACCCTGTCCGTCCGTCTGGGCTGCCTCAACTTAGGGTGGCGAGACCTATAGAAGCGAAAGTCATCACATCCCAACTTCGGAGGTTAGGTTTGATAAAGACGAAGATCATGGCCATGTATCTATGTTGTTTCCATTTATGTCTTTGTAAATATTTATATGTGATCAATGTGTGTGCAAATTATACCAAATCGACAATATCTCAAACAAGAAGTTTAGCTAACCTATGATACAAAGGACTGACGATAACGTTTTTGACGTAGAAACCTAAGTCTCCACTATATAATAAATTGGATCGTAAGGTAAGCCTTAGATTTAATTACATAGTTTTTATCAAAATTGTTTAAAAGCTTCGTTTGAATGTGATTTTCTGTTATTTTGTGGGTTGTGGGAAAATCTCATAAGCTACAATAATATCTGAAACATACTTTTTCCAGCATGGGGGTTGTATTGTTTTGTTTGTAGTTTACTAGCAGAGTACTCGTCCTTCGTACAGGGTTGGTGTATAAGCATAAAATTATTTTATTGCAGTTATACTTGTGCTATGCGTTTACAATGGAAGGGGACATGGCTTAAGAAAATTTTATTCTTTTAATTTACAGTATACTATAGTATAGCAAATCTACCACAACTATAATGTTCTACCACTGCACCTAAACAACAGAAAAAAGTAAAGTTCGCATTGTCTATAACAGCTTTTTGTTGCTGCTTGGGGTTCAACTTAGCTGCTGTCATTAATTCAAAAAAGTTAATAGTGTTGCATCCTGTTGGTAAACCTTATAACTTTATAATGCTACTAGCTGTACCCGCGGGCTTTGCCCCGTTTAACTTCTTAATTTTCAAGATGAGCTCGTTCGCATGGCTCAATCACGTCCTGGTTGAAGTTCGTTCGCTACGCTCACTCACTTTTACGTTGGAGCTCTTTTGCTGTGCTCACTTGCCTTCAGGTTAGCTCGTTCGCTACGCTAACTCGCCTCCAGGTTGAAGTTCGTTCGCTACACTCACTCACCTTTTGGTTGGAAATTAGCTGTTGTCATAAATGTAAAAGAAATAATAGTGCTGCACCCTGTTGGTAATCCTTGTAACTTTAATGCTATTGAACATCATAGAACAGAACCAACTTGTTTAATTGAAACAGCTGTTAATATTCATTAATTCCATTCAAATATGAGTACTCATAAGGTTAACATGGGAAACTCCAGAGCCACTAGGGGCGGAGCCCGAGAGTCCAATCAGAATAAAAACAGCTTAGTTTTCCTATTTAATGCCTAAAGAATCAGTGTACCAAATTTCAGCCTCCTAGGTAAATGGGAAGTAAGAGAATTAGTGATGGGTGGGTGAGTCAGTCATCAGTCAGTGAGTGAGGGCTTTGCCTTATAGATTAAATAGCAAAAAACCAACCCAACTTGTGTTTTTGAAACAGCTGACTAAATTCCTTAATCCTTTTGAATATGAATACTCATAAGGTTAACATTGGAAACTTGAGAACCACTGGGGCAGAGCCCGAAAGGATTTTTTAGATAAGAATATGTCTAATGGGGAACGTGAGCTATCATCATACCAAATTTCAGCCCATTCCGACCAGTATTTAATGCGTGATTGAACTTCAAACAAACAAATAAACAAAACAAACAAACAAAAAACACACAAACTTTCACATTTATAAAGATAAGGATTATAACATAGGTACTAAATTTTAATCAAAATCACTGAGGCTTTTTTATTGAAGATTTGATTTTTCCATTATTTTTTAGATGTTAATGGGAACATAACAAATCACAATTTCAAAAAATTGAAGAAAAAGGCCTGGATATACCATGGATTAGTACCTATACCAAATTTAATCAAAATAGAATCAAAATTTAAGTTATAACAACTAAAGGGAGGACCCATGCTGCTTAATAAAATTTATGATTTTTGATTGAGTAATAGAGTATCTTGAACTTAACTGATTTAAACGATCAATAGCTCAAATTAAAGCCTATAATTTACTGATTATTTTGAGTCTAAAACATATAAAAACATAAACAAAACTGGAGCTATTGATTTTTAATCATAGAAAACTTTATAAAAACTAATTTTTATTTCGGTTGTTCACCTTGCATTTGTTTGAAACTTGTCCGATTTGTATAACTAATAGCTTAAATGAAAGCCGGTATTATACTGAAGATTCTTACTAGACCAAAATATACAGGATTATATAATTAAAACTGGTGAAATACATCTTAAATTGAAGTAAGAATTAGAAAATAAATCAAATGTTTGTTTTTTGGTTGAGTAATACAGTGGATAAATTTATGTCAATGCTTGATTTGAGATATGTGCGTGCATACCTTCAATTTGAGACCTCAATCATGAAATTTAATCGGGTAGAAGAGCCAAACGAACTCGGAAAAGATAATCCAAATTTTACTCCCGTAAGAAATACATGGGGAGGATATTTCATTTATGTATAATCAGAGTCGGACTGTAGATAAATATATGCCAATGCTTGATGTGTAATCTGTGTGTGCATACCTTCAATTTGAGACCTCAATCATGAAAATGGGTCAGGTAGAAGAGCCAAACAAACTCGAGAAAAATACCAAATTTTTTAAATATCGAAGATTACAATGGAAAATACAGAATCAGCACTGAATCAGCTATGAGTTTAACGATAAGAGCATATTATTATCAAAAACATTACTAAAAATCATACCATACCTATTATTCCAGCCAATAAAAATTGATGACCTACGGTAATATGTTTAACATATTTTTAGTAGAAGGGATGCTCTGTTGTCTATTATTTATGACTTCATATTTTCTCTTAAACATTTGCTAAACGATTTCTCTACTTAAAATTTAACATGAAACTTGAAAGAATATACAATACGCTTCTAATAACACTCACTCACTTTTTTCCAATATTTAACAATACTGTAAAATAAAATAAATTCATCATCCCAGTTTTCAAGATTTACCTTACCTATATCATTGCAAGTAAATAGATTTAATAAAAGTAAACCCTTGAGGCATATTTGTGAAACTACTTTTAGCATTTAGGCTACTATTTATAGGTGATACAGGATAGGTTTGTAGTCTAAACAAGTACTGATTATAGGTCTATAGACTATGCCTTTGTCCATTATCTTTGTAGACTATCCCTATCCAGGGTTTATAGCCAATTATTACCTAGGAAAAAACACATTTCTGAACAAATCTTTGTGGAAATTTAATATAACATCTTAAAAAGTGTATAATCGTGAGTGTTTCTAATTTTAAAGGTCGTGAATTTTCCCTAGATAGAGATTGCTGTATAATGTCAATAATTCATGTACATTTTTTCCTTACTTACTGTCTGGAACAGCTGTTGTATACATACCTATTGTTAACTTTTTACTTTCTCCCCCTATACCATAGTATATGGAGAAAGTATTGTTTTCGTCAAAATTTTCGAGTTTGAGTTTTGAGTGGATATATCCGTTTTGGGTCCCCCTGGACCCAAAAAAGTGGTTTTCAAAGTGATGTCTGTGTGTGTGTGTGTGTGTGTGTCTGTGTGTCTGTGTGTCTGTGTGTCTCTGTGTCTGTGTGTCTGGATGTGTACAGAGCTAGGGACTACACCTGTGGTCCGATTTCGATGAAATTTGGTATGTAGGTTCTAATCCATGGTATCTCCAGGCGTTTTTTTCATTTTTTTGAAATTTTGATTTTTAATGGGGATTTTTCCATAAAAACCCATAAAAAACCTGAAAAATCGGATTTTCTCGAAAATGGCCCGAACGATTTTGATAAAAATGTAGTATGTTGTAGCCCTTTAAATTCTAAACAAAATGATACAAATCCCATTTCTTTAAAAATTACGGTTCAAAAGTTATGGTAAATAATGTAATTTTCCCATAAAAACCCCATAAAATAACGAAAAATAGGATTTTAGAAAAAAATCCGGTTTTATTTTAACATGGTCCTTAAAATTTTGATAGTTTTTTCATTTTTAAAATTTTTATATTTTTAATGGGAATTTTCCCATAAAACCCCATAAAATAACGGAAAAATAGGATTTTCCCAAAAACGGCCCGAACGATTTTGATAAATATTTTGTATGATATAGTCCTTTATATTCTGAACAAAATGGTACAAATCCCATTTCTGTAAAAATTATGGTTCAAAAGTTATTGTAAATTATGTTATTTTCCCATAAAACCCCATAAAATAACGGAAAAATCCGATTTTCACAAAAATGGCTCGAAAGATTTTGATAAAAATTTAGTATGTAGTCCTTTAAATTGTGAACAAAATTGTATAAATCCCATTTCCGTATATTTACTGTCACCGCTTACACAATATGATAAAGGTTGTTGACAAACTTGGGAGAAAGTATGTGTCAGAATGCTGATGCCGTTTATTTATATTCAATTCTAAAAAGTTTCAATTCAGAGATAAAACTAGTGGAACCCCGTCGGTTAAACTTGAGGTTTTATGCAAATTTAGCTAATTGCGGTAGATACAGTGAAGTCATTAAAATCTTAGTTAAATGAAGGGAAGATAAGCAATAATAAGCATGACGATTGGGTTCCCTAAAAAACGTGATTGATGAATTCGTTTAACACAATATTTCCTACCTTTTTATCGGCTTTAGGTTGCCCAAAAGGTTTTTTATGAGTCTTATAATTGTTTGTTCATGAGTTTGTTTCATGTCAAAGCCACTTTCACTATATGGGAGAAGGAGTTCATATAATTAGTCTATCATGTTACGGAAAGAGTCAATATTACTAACAACTAATTCAATCTGCTTTAGGAAAATCATTCAAATTGTTTCCGGATTTATAAGTAAATCTTCATCTTGGTCATAAAAATACAGAATTTTATCAGCATATTAAATTAGTTTTTTTTTATTTAATAAAAATATCTGATTCTCTAGAAAGCAGTAACATTCTTACTTCGATCCAAGCAATTTTAATTCCTTCTCTTGCCACATCGACCCATGTATTTAATCATCCTGTTCTTACTTGATAATTCGTTAACTTGGGGTAGTTTTGCCTTGGCCATATTGATCACATAAAGCTATGCATGTATTTCGTGGATGGAATGAACCATAATTGTAGGAAATTTGATCACAAATCTTGAACATTTGCGGAACCAAATGCATAACCTAGTCCAGCCTTGGTAACAAATTATGCAAATGCGATGAGATGTGATGACACTGTTGTGTTTCCGAATGTTTTGTATGTAGTGAGGTTTAGATGCGTTGTTCGACCTAGCTACATGTGTACATCAAAAAAGTAAAAACCCTGTACAAATTTATTTTAATACCTGAATTGGCATTAGTTCAACTACTTCACCAAAACCATAGATGAAACATACTCCGTAGTTAGTCTATTTCAAAACTTGAACACAGCTCTCATCCTCAACGTACTCATCTATGACACAATTTTCATCCCAATTATCGAAAACTTTTATACCGATAAATGAATTTCTGGTGTACTTTCTTGAATTAAATGGTGATTGAAAGTTGGCAAAAAAGGCAAGTGCCAACCATACAATATATATAAGCTAACCCGATAAGGAATAATTATCTATTCCTTCGAAATTGATATGTCACACTTATTTCATAATTTAAAATTTTCTAAGAGCAATAAAGCATAGATTTTTGAACAAAACATTTAAAATGTATAGTAAATTCATAATTTGTTGAAACTATAAAAAAACTTGCCATGTAGTGGAGAATCTATTTCAAATCATAAATAATAATGTAAACATTTGATTTTGACAGTTCAGTAGACCTTTGAATACAATCTTAATATTAACAGCTGGTTCATTAAAAGTAGTGTAAAATTATCCATATGGTCTTAATGTAAACAAAATTGCAGAGTGAACTTTAAAGGCCTCTGGGGCAGAGCCCCAAGGAAATTTACCTTGTTTCTCTTTTGAGGGCTCACCTACAGACCAATACCTTTCTTTAGACACCCCTACCAAGTTTTTACGCCCAGCCGTTCTCTCAAATTAGCTGTGACAAAAACCCCGTTTTCCTCCATAAGAATAACATGGGATGGGAATTTAAAGGCCACTGGGGCAGAGCCCCGAGGGAATTCACCATGTTTCTCTTTTGATGGCTCATCTACAGACCAAGACCTTTCTTTAGACACCTCTACCGAGTTTCTACGCCCAGCCGTTCTCTCAAAATAGCTGTCACAAAGAAAAACAGTTTCAAATTAATATATAGATTCCACAGTTTTACAATACCACATTCAACTATATGTTCTAATCAACCATCTCAGTTTTTATCCAATCACTTAGAGATACAGCAGTGATGATCTATAAGTACCAATCAGACAATGTTTGTTCCATGCAGCCTCTCAGGATGTCCCAGGAAGGACAAAGTCACACCAGAGAGTGAGTATTATTGTATTGTCCTTCCAGTAGTGCTTTATTCCTGTCCCTTTTCCTTCACAGCGGGTTAGAGAGCTTACCATCACTTTATAGTATCCTATTTCCTCCTCAGTTCAACAAAACCTCTAGATATGTCTCAAGGAATATTCTGACATTTGCAAATTGAAATTTTGTCCCCCGGTCTGGTCTCCGGTCATTTCCTTCTTGTACTTCATATTAATCATCAGGAATCACCAAAATCGTAAGTTAGATAGTTATCTCTTTGTTTGTAGTTAGAAGGAGAAGTCGATGACCGAAGATCACAACCGTACTTGCTACTCTCTACCCGCTTCCCTCCGACCAATGCATTGTCTAGGATATTCCTGTGACATACGAAGGTGATTGTTAACTAATGGTTACGCTCTCCCCGCTGTTGTCTAGTCCTGGCGATGCATGAGACCATACTCAAATGCCCAACTCCTGGTTGTAACGGCAGAGGGCACGTTAGCACCAACCGTAACACCCACCGCAGCCTCTCCGGTTGTCCAATAGCTGCCGCAACCAAGCAAGCTCTACGCCAAAGCAGGGCTAAGCAGAGCACACAACCGATCAGAGGTGAGAATTTGGTGCAGATGGTTTTGTGATTTGCCAACCCCGTTAAAAAAAATTGTATACAAGCTCTAATAACTATTAGGAATATCCCTAAATCATTTTCTAAATATTTGGAACAAAATTTCAAAGATTTGAATGAATAGGTACGGTAATAATGAATAGGAAAAACATTGTTGTCAAATGTATAAATTTAAGATGGGTTCAAACAAGTGATATTTCTGATCACACGGATTTAATTTTCATCCATAAATAAAGGTTTATCTTCTGAATTTTTACCTATTTTCAGTCGCAACCACATGTGCAGCGGATTTCAAGCCACAGCCCTCGTTGTTCACGAGCCCTGCAGCACCTGGGGAGATGAAGCCTCACTACCCTGTTCCCTCCTATCCATCACATGCTCCTTCTCCTTACTTCTCAACTGCTAAACCAACTATCAAACCCACCAAGATCGTAAAGAAAGAGGAACCTGACAACAGCTCTTTTACGGTTGTACCAAAATCAGAATCTTCCAATACCAATAACAATAACAATTGTGCTGTGCCCACCAAAACAGAAATGATAGTAAAGCCAGAGATTCCATCAGGCAACACCTGTAGGTCTAGCAGCCCACCACCACCTCCTCAAGGGTGGGGTAACTCTTACGACTACATGAACCATGATTCCAATTCTTCCTCTGTATCAAGTATGGACGTAATGAGCCATTATCATCAGATACCTCCTCATATGCCAGTAGCTCCTACACCTGTCTCTCATCATATACCTGCCCCACCAGCTTACGTTGCCAAAAACCTTGAAGAATCTCGATCTTCAGTTCAGCACCGTTCTCCTTATGAATCCCCCTCAATAAGTTCTTCTGAAGACGTTTACAGAGACAATCCTACTCGCACTTATCCAATAACTAACACCACTACAATAAACCGTCCGGTTCCCTCCTACTCAACAGAGGTTACTGCTCACACTTACGAAGTAGCAGGACACAGACCGTACGACCCTGGTAGTACCACCAACTACGAACGTTACGATGCCACTCCCCAGCCCTGCCCTCCCACCCCCCGCTACCCCGAATACCAGGAGCATGAGATGAGAGCCTATGACCAACAGCACCACCAGATGTCTGGGATAATGAAGCCTGAACATCCTTCCGAGAGCGAGTCGTCTGAAGGCCCTCTGTATCCCAGGTACCACCTCATCTAATTTTGCACTAACTCTTAACAAACCATATATAACCAGCAAAACACACAAAATGTTGAATGCTTCAAGAGAGTATTAAGAATTATCTGTAGCGACTATTTAGTTACTAGCAACCTGCAATGATTTCCAGTTTCTAATGTGACTCAAGTATTTGTGTTGCAGGCCCATGTACCATTATGATCCAGCGACCGGGCCAGTTCCAGCAGGATTTTCTCCAGCTGCTATTAACCTATCAGTTAAGTGTGTAGCTGGGATGAAGCCTGGAGAACCGAGGTCTCCTGGGGCAGCTTCTGTGATGGACCTTTCTACTTCCAATGTTACATCAACCAGTCCTCAGGTACATCAAGTTACCCTAAACCAGTATGTAAGATATCTTGCTGTCAAAACATGTAGGCTACCTACAACAGGGCCGTCCGAAGGGGGGGGGGGAACCGGGGCAAGCTGCCACGGGCGCCGTGGCTAAGGGGGCGCCGAGCAGCGGCTATTTGTATTAACATAGTATTAAAATATGAGAATACTGGGGGGGAGGGGGCGCCACGACCATGTTTGCTCCGGGCGCCGCCAACCCTAGGGACAGCCCTGCTACAAGCCCACGTAGAAATGTTCAGTTCCTTTAATGCACACATCAAATACTTTTTAATACTTTTCAATGAAATGGCGACCATACAAAGTAGGTATTTTAAGCCAAGTATGAATGGAGATGAGTGTAGTATGAGTGGCGCGATCTTGTAGTCTTATTAGTGACTAAGGCCAACTTATTCCTTAGACGCAGCTGTTAATTAATAGCTCATACAGCTAATGGCAACTAAGGGACCTACAGTTAGTGGAATAGGTGGAATCCAAACCACATTTTTGCCAAACACACTATCATTCATTGTTTTGAGGTATCTGCATAAATGCCCTCAAACAGACTATTGTATTAAAGTATATGAGAATTATTAAATCGGCTGAATTTTTTCATGTAATAATAGAAGGCAATAAGACATCTAACTACAGTTTTAAATAGGGTTTTCTTATTATTGAAGCTTATTACATTGATTGATTGATGTTTTCAGGCTCCTTATGGCTCCAGCCCAGGACAGTACCCCAGGGGTAGCCCGAATGCCACCAATAGTCCACACCCTAACAGCAGTCCTCAAGCTACAAGTCCTCAGCAACAAACACTGGACCTTAGTGTTACAAGGTGAGTTGACTCCTTCCCTTACAGAAATGTAACTCTCTACCTACCAATGGCATTAGTAAAATTTTCAGAGTTAAAATAATCTTAGTGATTGAAAATTTGGGAGTTGGAACTGAATAAGGCTGCAGTAAACACTGACAACAAATAACAGAGGAGAAACAGGTTCCTTTTTTTATCCTCATCACTACACCATTGTGGATAATTATACTTGTTCAATTTTTTGTGGTCTCAAAGATGTGAATATCTCCTAACTGAAGTTTGACCACTTGTAATAGTTCTCCATAATTATGGCCACTTTTATGTTCAATAATTGAATTACCATAATTTAAGGATTTTTTATATATGATGTAAAAATTTGATTTTAAATAAAGTGATAAAAGGTCAGCCCATCTGTGCCATTTGCCCATTTAGTGAAAGTTCATTAAACAATCCTCATAAAATTTCGATGTCTGGTCAATCATAATTACCTTATGTTATTCTTCACATTTCTTTAATTTGCCTTTCCTAAAATTCCCATTACATTCTTTGCCTTTTCTTCCACCCAAAATCATGAAAATTTGTATTATTGAAATACAGTATCCATAGTAAGTATATAAACCCCAACAATTTGTTTTGGTTTCTTTGATTACTACGTAATTTATTGATATGAGTAATTAACTGATATGAGTAAGGAAAGCACCTTACTGTCTTCATTTTAAATTGCATTTTTACAATTTCACCTTATATTTATCAGTACCGTATGTAAGTGTAGTTTTGTATGTTTGATAACCACACATGTTTCCCCGGAGTTCTTTATATATTGACTTTGTTGTGCTGAAGTGATGACGTGTAAGTATTCTTGTATTTTATAGCTTATGTAACACTGTTGGCATTACTTAAGAATCAAAAGAAAAAGTTTAAGGATTTTTAGCAACATCCATTGATTTTATGATAAATGAAGACATAATGATGAGGTGCATTATCATATTTTGATGTATTTCTTATTTTGTATTAGTGTCATATACTTTTCTGACAAGTTAGTGTGTACTTTTAGCATTTCTGATTCTGACTTTACTGTATATACTTAAATTGTTATAGGTACTCTATGTTCCTTGAAGCATTCAACATTTTTACTAGGCTAAATGTTTTACAATTACAAAATTATTTTCTGGAAAATGTATAAAAACTATCTCTTGACTGATGCTGGCAGTCAAAATGGAGTAGTTTTATACAAAGCCTAATAAATTAAAATTAGCTATGTCATTTATGATACACAAATTGACATTTAAAAAAGTGTTTTAAACGTACAATAAATTGTTTCCTTAAAAATTCTGTATCCTACTTATTTATAAGTTAAATTAGTAGTTTATTTCTCATACCTTCTTCTGTACATTATGATTTTTACATTGTTGGCTAAATTAGTTTTGATGTTGGGTTTTCTGGCAACAGAATGAAAAGAATTTGAGTGAAGTACAATATTGTAGTTATATATTATGCTATAAAGCTGTAATCATATTACATTGTTTCCGGTTATTTGAACTATTTTCCTAATTTTCTGATTAGACAAGCAGCTTGCTCCTGTCTGTTTAGGGTTCCTGGACGTCCGGTTTTCCCAGGAGGTCCTGCAGGATACAGTCGGGAGTCTACTCCAGACACGGGAGGAACTCATTACATCGACTCTTACCGGGATGTCAATGGTAAGCAGCAGCTGATTTCCTTTCTGTCTCAATACAAATAGTACAGTATACTTATTTTTTCTGTATTCAGTTCTTCAAAAAAATGTAACTCTTTATTGGATGCACTGATTTTGAAATGCCCCCGGCTGAATGCGGAGATTGCTGTACTTCTATGTTTGGGAAAATAAACACCTGTTTTATGTGATTTATTCTAAGAACCAGGGGACAGAGCCATGCAGTTTTTTTCTGACAGGCTCGGTATAGTTTATTTTGATTGTATATAAACAATAATATAAAGGAAATTCACATTTATTTAAAAACTAATTTTGGCTTTTATTATTTAAGTTTCAGTGGAATTTCAATTTATGATGATGGAAATTTTAACCTGGCAATCCAATAGATTAATTAGTTTTAATCTCACTCATTTCTTTTTTTTAAATAAATAAAACAATTTAATGTTAAAAATAAATCAAATAAGTTTTTTTTTGTTTTAGTTCCAACTGTAGGAATTAATCACAGGTAGCATTTAATACGTAGTGTATGTAAGGGGTGTAATTCATTTCTTGGTACTAAACTAAATCTTTCTTTAAGTAAAAGTAAAACTTCAGCATGAGCATACTCTCTAAAATACTCTCGTATGATGGATTTGCTGAAGATAGATATAAGTCAGATTCAAGCGTACATTGTTTACTATAAAGATTATAGTAATACAATTAACTTACTAATTAAACTGAAGAGTGCATACAAATTGTAAAATATACCCTTAAATAAGAGTGAAACATTGAGTTCAGTGAAACATTGACGTCAGTGTACTCAACGTCACCAACACGAAACACAACACCAACATTAGCTCTATTTTCCCCTATATCGATTAATCTTCAGTGTAATCTTTGCTCAATAGTTACAACTGATATTTTTTTCCTTTATAGGCCCACTGTATTTAGTAATTTTCTAAAGCTCACAAAAATGAATAGTATTTTGTAAGGAATAGCACTAAATGGAATTCAAATAAATGAATTTATTAATTTAAGAAATATTTACTGGTATTGAAGGAAAGAAGGTTTAAAAATGTAAAATTCTGCACCTAATAGCAATTTATTGGTAGATATATCAGGGTCTTTAGCAAAAGTTACACTATTGAAATGCTGTGCAATTTTTTAGCAAGTGAGGAGTACACTTCTGGTGGAAGGTTAAAAAATTGTATGGGTGCATAGCTTTGTTGCTAATCTTTTATTATCAGCTGGATTTGATTATTACCCAATTAGCTTTACAGAGTAACTAGCTGTTACCATAGACAAATATAAAACTAGGGTGGTCTGTCGTTACACTTTAGACGCATAAATGAGCGAAGCATTATTTAAAGATTGTCAATGGCTAAAGCAGCTAACAACCTACAATATGTTCCCTTTCAACAGATTCACCGTTTGTTTGCCCGATATTATGTAAGTTCTAAAGAATGACAAACTGGCCATCCTGACCATTTGCTTGTACTTTGTAAATGCGCATAGCGGGATGTACTCGTGCAATCAACATTTGTTCTACAATCGTCAGGTCAGTTAATTCGTTCGGGACACTTGACACATCCATATTATTTAACGCCGTGAATTTAGTTGCATTCGAACGACAACGCGAAGAAATCGGTGATTGGTTTGAAGCTGTTAGTGTTGTTGGCGATGACAGTTAGTGCAAAGTGTAAAATTTTAGTGCATCTAATTCATGTTGGGATTGATTAGCTAACTGCCTATCATTATCAGCTTCTTCTGCCCCTGCTTCATCTGGTTCTTCTTGTTCACGACGCCACTCTCTGACTCTCTTACAATATTTGCATTATTGGTGCGACGACCAATATTACGACGTGGCCTTTGAGGCATGCTCAAAACAAATATAGCAAAACTGTTACTTCCATTGATAAACTGTTACATTCCAACTTTAACCTAGGATGAAAGTAAACATTGAAATGTAAACAAAACAGTTACAAACAATTAACATATGTTTATCTTATTTAAATGAAACGAGATAAACCCATATGTCATAAACCCAATATAATTTTTCTTTCAACTTACATTAAAATAACAAGCGAAATTGTGTGACCCGTAAAATAAAATCCAGAAGGAAATTTGCAAATAAGTTTTACCTAAACATTGTGCTCAGTATTCTTTAGCTGTTGGCCAAATTTCATATCAATTGGTCAAGCCGTTACATTCTGATGCTCTTACAAAGAAGTTACAAAGTGAGGGAAAGTGAGCTTCGCTCAATAAATATAGACTGTCAAAGGAAGGTTCCGGCGCCCATCGCTAGGAGTACCGTGTAGTTACGGCGCACACCGCTTCAGGCGAGGAGCGCAGTAGCCGTATGTGAGCAGCAGACGCTGCAGTGATGTGCGCCGTAACTACATGGCAAACCTAGCGGTGGACGCCAGAACTTATGATAACCGCAACACAGCTGACAGTCTATATTTATTCTATTTGTCTATGCTGTTACCCACGGGCTTCACTCCCATTTGACTTCATAAGTATTAATAAAACTATCGATTGGTTAAGTTAGCTGAAATAAACAAAATAGAGTACAGTGTAATATAAACAAATAATCACACCCCAGACAGCACAGGATGTTTTAAAAATATATTTTTTTAATTTTTAAAGTATATTTTAAAAATGCATCCTATTTTACCCCCAATGTATCCTAAAAATATTTTAATAAAATATTTCATTTTCATATTTTAAAAAATTTAAAAATATATTATTAAAAAAATGTTTATAAATATTTTAAATAATAAAGATTTAATATGAAAAGCATAATTATTAGTTGAGTAAATTGATTAGTTAGAATTAAATAGTTCATAAAAACAAATTTTGAAAAAAAACTAGAACAAAATTTTTTAGCCCAGACCCGGGTCTGGAACCTGGTACCTTCGTCTTGTGAGCCTCTTATCTTACCTCTGAGCTAGCTGTGAGTGTTGATAATTAGAGTTTTCAAGTGGTCAAAGAGTAGCCAATAGTTGCAATGTCGCAATACTTGTACTATTTTTTAATATGATTCTGTTTATCTGTTTGGGCATCAATTAGTTGAATTGTTTTTATGGGAGTTAGAGAGAAGAGAGGGTACTGGTATTTGAATATAGATTATTTAATTACCATTAGATTAGTAATGTTATTATAATTGATGATCTTATAAGATTAATTAATCTTTCCCCTTAAATTGTTAAACCACCTATTAAAAAATTAGCTCAAATTAGTTAAAGAATATTAATTGAAAAAAATTTACATTTTAGTATAATTGTTATATGTTAAGCAGGTGTTCCCCACTGTATCTAGTATCACAACATCATCTGACTACATTTATTATAGATCCAATTTTCTATAGATCCCAACCATGCCGAACCATTTCCCAACGTTGGGTCAACAATGACAATAATGTGTGCTACTTGGGCGGACATCCAGTAGGCCTATTTTAAAAGTTTACTTTTACAACATAGTCTAAACCTTGTTGTTTAACTGTTTGGGGAAAAAATGTATTATTTTTGGAGTGATCTTAAGACAACTTTAATATAAATGCAATTTTTAGTATAGGCAACTTGAATTATTTTAAAAAAGTCAAGTGAAGTGTTTTAGTCATGGCCTTAAAACAATTATTTAAGGAACAAGAAATTTGCTGTCAAAATATATATTTTAAATGTGTGGGAAATATATTTTACCCAGCTCAATTGAAACAAATTACCACAATATATTTTTAGAACTTAAACAAGCTATTTATAAAATATTTTTACAGTTACAATTCTATAAATATTCATAAAAGCTATATTTTTAGGTGAATAAAATATTTTATAAATATCTTTTACATAAAAAAAATTAATTATTTTGTCTTAATATATATTAAAAATATTTTGTAAATATATATTCAACCGAAAAATAAAAATATTTAAAAATGTATTTTTAAGACCATTAAAAAATCATTTTGAAACTAATATGTTAACATATTATTAAAAAATTAAAAAAAAAATATTTTAAAAATAATATTAAAATGTATAAAATATTTTTAGGATGAGGATGTATATTTTAAAAATATTTATAAAATATCCTTGTGCTGTCTGGGACCTGATTTTAATAAGGTAAATTGAAAGAATAACATACAAATAAGTACAACTGAGGTACTTTTAACATTATGTATATGGAAAGTTTCCTTTAGAAAGTAATTACAACCTTAATTTATGATATAAGGGACAGTTTTGAGCAAGTTTCTCCTCACGACAAACATTTTAAGTATATATGGCTTATAAGTATGTGAGTTGTAGTTTTCTCAAAAGTTCATGGGTACTTTGGGATTTATTTATGGATTTCTGAGTTTAGTTAAGTTACGGTATATTATAGTTGCTTTACCCATGCTTCACAAAACGGTGAAGATGCAGAAGAGAATACACTGTGGTTTTTTTAAATCTACTGTGTTCCAATTCCTAATAAACGTTACCTATTTAGATGAATCATGAATCTTGTGAAATTAAAAAAATGATGAAAATGTTCATGTCAAATGTCATGCAAAAAGATGCATTTCCACAATTTGGGTTACTGGACACATAATATAAAACAACTTGGATCAAAAGTTTTGGTTGGTAGACTAATAGTTTTACTTTTAAACCTTTAATTGATTCAGTAACACAGGTACCGTATTTAACTTTTATTTATTTTTTTTTGTAAATAAGAGGATGAAATTAATTACAACAATCAGGATATTGATAGCACATTGAGATAGTCAACTTTTTAATACAGATTTCAGAACCTTCATTAATTTATGCAGGTTCCTCTAAAATAAAAAATAAAACATTCAATGAAGATAAAATAGTTTTTTCTGATCAAGATTTTCCCCAGCCTCAATTTGTTTTTTTAATATGAATGCAATTTTTTTATTCCAATACTTGACGAATTGACTTCCAGTTGCTGCCAGTTTTATTCTTGAAATAATTGGAAATTGCTTGTAGTGAGCCCCTTGATCATTTCCAAGAGCTCAATATTGCTGAAAACCAAATTAAAAACAAACACAATTGAGTTTCAATCATCATTAGTTTTTTTATGTATTTTTCCCTCTGAGAATACTAAAAATTTATTTTATGAAATTGTTTTTTTTAAATCGTGTTGTTATTAATACTTTTAATTTTACGACCAATTTAGTTAAATTAAACTTAATGCTAAAACAATCACTATTCACAGTGGGCTATAATGTACTAAATAAACGGTATAAGCAATCTGACTCATACTTTTTCCTATAAGCTTGATAACAACCTTTATCATGGGTAAGCGGAAGCGGGGGGAGTATTTATGATATTTTATAGGGGAAAATCATAAAAGTTGCAATAACTTTTGAGCCGTAATTGTTACAGCAATGGGGGTTGCACTATATATACACCGTGTCCCAAAAAGAATGGATCAAATCTGCAGTTTAATATACGTGTTATTGAGGTTCGTAGGAAAGTCAAGTATGGCTTATATTAAAGCTGACATCTTTAAGTTTTTTTTTTTAGTATGATTCAACAAAAATCAGCTGTCCATTGTTGTGATCATGCTTGAATTTTCAAAACATAAACAAACAACACAGTTGCATTATGAATGTGCAGTTAAAAGCACAGCGTCTTGAGTGGTTCATTGAGACTAAATCAGTGGTTAAAGTAAAAAGGAGATTTCGAACTGTATACAATGTAAATTCACCATCCAGAAACAGTATGTAGCAATGGTACAGGCAGTTTAAGGATTCTGGAAACATCGGCCAGACGGATGAAACCTTCCCAGTTGGATTGGTCGCGGCGGTCGCATACGGTGGCCTCCTAGATCTCCAGACATTACGCCTTGTGATTTTTTTGTATGAATGGGGATTTGTGAAAGATCAAGTGTATAACTTGCCGATCTCAAACTTAGATTAACTTAAAGCAAAGATAAGGGAAGCCTTTGGAAAATATCCAATGAAATGCGACACAATGTGTGGTCTGAGCTTGAACACCGCCTTGACTTTCTCCGAGCGAACAACGGAGAACATGTTGAGGTTAGGCGGTGAAATCATGTTGGGAAAAACTTAAAATGTTAAGAAATAAAATGTATATAAAGTTAGCTTTTTATCTTTAAGAAAAAAGTGTTCATGTCAGTTTACTTTTGATCCATTCTTTTTGGGACACCCGGTATATATATTCTGGTATTCTTGATTGATCCTGGTCAGTTAAAACATCTAGAAAACTACTGTGATACATTAAACCATCTTATTCCCATTTCTGTATCAACGACACAATTATTTAAACCCTTAAACTTGTTCTATCAAATAATGCACTTACTTAAAAATATTGTTATTCATTGTGACCCTTGGTTGGAAATATAATTGATAAAATGGAAGAATTACCTTATCCAACCACAGTTGCTGGTATGACAACTAGTTTCGTTCCTTAGAACATTGTCAGGTCATTGTATGCAACCACATCTTCAATGTATGTATGTACATTGTGGTATGTCAAAAGATTCTTTAAAAACACTGTCAGAATCACAATAGTAAAAACTAGTCATGTTGATCAAACTTAAACTTTTTTTAGTCAGTGACAGTGATAAGAAAGTGCTGGCCAGCCTTTACAGTTTTAACCAGTTTTAACCAGTTTTATCACTTTTTATTCAATTTTAATAGTTTGATCAACATGACTAGTTTTTACTATTGTGATTCTGACAGTGTTTTTAAAGAATCTTTTGACATACCACAATGTACATACATACATTGAAGATGTGGTTGCATACAATGACCTGACGATGTTCTAAGGAACGAAACTAGTTGTCATACTAGCAACTGTGGTTGGATAAGGTAATTCTTCCATTTTAAAAATATTGTCCTGTTGTGTGTGTATATTCTATTAATTTTATTCTATCATCATTAAATACTAAGAAAATGAATGTGATTTTATTTTTTTTTATGTTTAGGCGAATTCTAGAAAGTAATTCTCTCAACCTGATTCCTTAGGTTACACGGGGATGAGCCCCCATCCAGGTTATGCTATGTCTGGATCTGAGTATCCAGCAAACAGCTACACTCCTTACCCACCCTCTGCCTACTCCTGTGGATATCCTGCAGGAAGCTATCCCCCAGGACCCGGATACTCCCCAGCCGCCTGCTATCCCATGGGACCTCCGCAGCATGATAAACTTCCTCCATCATCAAAGAATGATAGGTGAGTTATTCTTAAGACATTTTTACAGTTTCTTTCATAAGTGAAACCCCAAAACAAAAATATGAGCAGTAGCAAAAGAAAATAGTGCACATGCACGGGCTTACAGCAGAACATTGGGCTGGCTCAGTTTGGTGAGCACAATTTCCTAGCGTAGGATGATATCGGTTTGTCATATCAAAATCTGTTATGGTCTATTGACTAGACCTACAAGTTTCCATTATATTTTTATGTTTGTAAATACCTACAGTTCTTCTGTTCACCGTGCCTAAGCTTTTGTTTAATAGGGTGTTTACAAAATAATTTTTTGAGTGTTTAGTTTGTGTTTTTAAGTAGTTTTCTCATTTGATATTGTTGTTTATTAATTAATACTCTACTTCCATTAACATTTTTTATATTTAATTTTTATTATTTTTTAAATTACTAACAAAATAATTTTCTTTGTTGAGAAAATGAAATTTTTGCCACACTACTGTTTTAATAGACTTTCCACACTTTAAATCAGTCCGGAAAACAGCTGTTTGCCATGGGGTTTCATTAGACTGTACTGTAATGAATTTTTACTGCACACCAGCTGATTATAATCAGCAATATAGGTCAACGAATCAATAAACAAAAACATATCCTCTTTTAGAACTTATGAGAAGTGATTGTTAAGTCCATTCGGTTATATAAACGGATTTGTAGGCTACAGTTTTTTTATTGTTAGGTTAGTTTAGAGTAGTATAGCTGGTCCAAAATGTGTTTACTATACTCGTATGCTAATCCCATGCGAGACAACCATACTGGTCTGGTAAACACCTATTTTCCGGACCATTAACATTAATATACTATTACGAGTAGGCCTACTTAAACACTACTGAAGAATTTAGATAAAACGCTGAACGATTAAACATATAACTGGAAAGTATAGTTTTTAAACAAACCTTTGGTAATGCAATATTTTTTTTAAACGAATTGATATATTGTAGCGATGTCTTTTTATTTTCCATGACACCCATAACTGCGATCTAGATTATCGCTCTAGATCTGAAATCAGAAACCCTGATTTACTTGAACTCTCTCCAGCATGTGGATGCCCATGTAAATATATGGTGACCGTACCACTGAGCCATATTCCAGAATAGGACAAATAAGACTTTTATATAAAACTAAAATAGTTTGTGGTGATCAAAAGTATCTTTTATACCTAAGTATGAAGCAAAGAATCTGATTGGCTTCATTAGTGGACATGATTTATGTGCTCCAATGGCAATGAGGTCAAGATAAAACTCCCAGATCTCTTATCCAATCAACTCTGTCTAGTTCTAATATTTCATTTCCAAATTGATATTCATGGATGAGAGGAGCCGACCGGGCGTGAGAAAGTAATTCTATATGGCACTTATTGATTTGTAGCTGTAAGCCACCTGTCTATTTGATTGAGATATATTTTAAAACATTGTTTGCAATAAAATTATTGTTAAGTTGCTATTACATTTGCTGTTTACTTTTCTTTCTTCTGATGTTACACTTTTTATCACTATAATAAATCTTCTAAAATACACATTATAGGCCTACAGGGTGCACCAAAATAACCTGACGGGTTTTAAAATTAAATAACTCAAGAACAAAAAATTGTAATGTATTAAATAATTTTATATTGTTCACACTAACACCATTTTCATTTATGAAAAATTATATCACCTAGGTGATGGACCTTCTCCATTGACGCAAGCTTTCCCATCTTTTCTACGTTGCAGTCACCTTCCGTATCACCACCTGGGGAATAGTAGAGTAATCTCTTGTGTACACTACTTGAGTTTAGGGATGATTCGAGATTTTGAAACAAATACTTTGCTTTTTAAGTAGCCCCACAGCCAACAGTCACACAAAGTTAAGTGTGGACATCGAGCTGACCATGACACATCACCAAACCGTGAGATCACTTTACCAGGAAAGAGTTCACACAAAACTGTCATTGAATCATTGGCTGTGTGACAAGTTTTGCGCCGTCCTTTTGAAACCATACGTGTTGGTCATTTCTATCCCTAACATTCCCAGAGTTGTGGAACCATAAAAACCCCATCAGCATTTCCACATAGCGTCCCGAGTTTACCGTGACTATGTTCTTCCTTTATTCCTAAAAAATATGGTCTGATGACTTTGGATGAAGTGATGTTTCATGAATTTTCTTAGGATTTTCAGCAGACCAGTATCTGAAATTTGCCTTTCTGGAATGATAGAAATGAGCTTCATCAGGCATAATCAAAAATTTAAGAGGTAATTTTCAGTAGCCAGCTGCAACAGAGTCTCTGAAATGTCAAAACTTGTGATTAAAAGCCTCTTTCATTCAATTTCTGTACCATAACAATTTTGTATGGGTGGAAGTTGAGATCTAAATGTAAAATTCTACGTAAAGCAGTTTGAAATTGCCAAGTCCATATTATATTGTCTACAAGCAGAACAATTTGGACAGGGCCGCAGCTACACATTTTTCCGGGGGGGGGGGGGGCAAGTCTTAAATTTGCCGCCCTTTAACCACACAACTGAGGATTTTTTCTAAGTGCCAATGACATTTTATTATCAATCTTTACAAGAGGCAGACAAACTTTTTTTAAGAAAATGGTCCAAAGGTTTGATCATACTTTATATTAGGGTAAGGTGGGGCAAGATAGGGAACTTTAGCATTAATAATTTTTGGAAAGCTTCCTAATTGATTAATAAAAATAATTGATATTGCAACTTAAACTTCAGTGTCCTTATAGAGTATATATAAATATTTTTACTCGTCTAACTTAGAAACTTAAACATAAAAAACCTTTTTTTAGTTTACCAAGTACGGTACCCCATCTTGCCCTGCATGAGGGCAAGATGGGGTGAACAGGATGGGGCAAGATGTGGTGCCATTACAAAGTAAGGCAAATAAACAAAATACAAACTTAAAAACATTTGTTTTAATATAAAAAGTACCTATAATGTTGTCAATTAGTGATATCAAGTTTTAACAGAAAACATAAAAATGACTCAGATAAACATACAAATTAGGCCTACTCCAATTTATATTACTACCTTTTTTTGGAACTTCAACTGTTACCTACATTTGCGATAAGTATCGCTCTGTGGAACTGATTTTTGGATCAAACCGTTCCTGATAACAACATCAGCCATAAAAACTGTTTCTTGAGTCACTTCACTTCGCTACCGGTACTACTAGTAAGAGGAGGGCATAATCCACGGCCGCCTTTAACTCCAGACACGGCCACCTTTAACTTCAGGCCGCGGCCTTGTAGTGTTGGCAACATCGCAAGTGGTGTTGTTTAGTGACAGACGTCCCAAAAGATAACACGACAGACAGGTGACACTATCTCATTAATGCGCCCTTTATTGATTTGAATTTAAATGTATGAACATTATTAAAATATTGAAAATAAAACATACAGAATTAATAACCGAAACAATATGAATTAAAAATCAATATCTGTACAGTTTAAGGCGAGTCAATATTGTCATAGTCCAGTAACCAATCTTTCGTAAATACACAAATACCATTAGCTGCTTCCAAACAAAACAGCTGTTACAACACCACTTGCGACGCTGCCACTTCGAAGGCCGTGGCCTGGAGTTAAAGGCGGCCATGCTCCAGGCCGCGGCCTTCGAAGTGGCTACGTCGCTTATACGTCGTTTATAAGGAATAAGCCGAAATGGGCAGCGAGGCTATTCGTCGACTGTAGTTGCGTCCAAACATAACTTTATTTTATCAAATACAAAATCTAAATAAATAAATAAATAACAGAAGATATGATGAGGTGAAAATATGATCTAAATGGAGTTACAAGAACAAACTCCATTTTGTAATTTTATTGTTGTTGTTTGGGTTTTGTAATTCTGTTGTTAGTTCTGTCCGGTGTACTGTAGAAGTCGTGTTTTGTTTACACTTTGTTTCTATTATATTTCAGGGTTAGTTTCTCATGTTTTGTGTCTCACTATTTGGTTATATAGCTAGTGGACAAGTTATTGTTTATGATTAGATAGTTTTATTTGGTTAAACAATGTTGTTGTAAATTACTTTTTTTACAGAATTTATTTCTGGTTCAATGATGACATTATTCACAGAAAGGTTAACACAATAAACAAGAAAATAACAATTATAACATCGTGGGTTCACCCAGGAAATAGCAAGAAACGAATCGTAAACAAAACACGACTCTACAGTACACTGGGCAGAACCACGGCCGCCTTTAACTCCAGGCCGCGGGGCGGCCTTCGAAGTGGCAACGTCACAAGTGGTATTGAAACAGCTGTTTTGTTTAGAAGCAGCTAATGATATTTGTGTATTTACTAAAGATTGGTTACTGGACTATGACAATATTGACTCCGCTTAAAATGTACAGACATAGAATTTTAATTCATATAGTTTGGATTTCCAATTCTGTATGTTTTATTTTCAATATTGTAATTAATTTATGTTCATAAATTTAAATTTAAATCAATAAATTGCGAATTAATGAGCCGATGTCACCTGTCTGCCATGTTATCTTATGGGACGTCTGTCACTAATCAACACCACTTGCGACGTTGCCAATTCTACCAGACCGGGGCCTGTAGTTAAAGGTGGCCGTGGCAGAACTAACAGTAAAATTGGCTTCACCCACGGCCCCCTTTAACTCCAGGCCGTGGCCTTCGAAGTGGCAACATCGCAAGTAGGGTTGTAACCACGGCCGCCTTTAACTCTAGGCCGCGGTCTTCGAAGTGGCAACGTCGCAAGTGGTGTTGTAACAGCTGTTTTGTTCAGGAGCAGCTAATGGTATTTGTGTATTTACGAAAGCTTGGTTACTATGGACTATGACAATATTGACTCACTTAAAAAAGTACAGATATAGATTTGAATTAATATTTTTTCGATTTTCAATACTGTATGTTTTATTTTCAATATTTTAATAAATTTATAGTCATAAATTTAAATTTAAATAATTAAAGTGCGGTACTAGTACCGGTAACGAAGTGAAGTGACTCGAGAAATA